TAGTTTTAATATGTTTGACATGAGTATGACAGATTGTTCATGGTTGTCATAGCAAGGAACTGGACTCATTGGCTTCCTCTTTGTTATGAATATAGCAGTGCCAGTCTTTGCTTTTGCAGCAGGCTGGTATGTCTTAGTACACTCTCTTTGTCTTCTGGGTCAGGGTGCTGGTAGAATGTGGTATAGACATCCCTACTGCAAGACTGATGGCACTGAGATTTTTGCCATTATTGTTCTTATTTCTAAAATGCAAATAAATTCTGCTTTATCTGGATATTTGGAAAAACTAATAAATGTGGGGAAAAAAGTTTTCTGTTTCTACAAAAGAAAATCATTCACTTAAACTTTGTAGTTTTCTATTAGATCCTACTACAGGGTGAAAAATCCTACAAATAGCTGGAAGATATGAAGAAAAATGGCACTTTCTATTTGCTCTGTTGTTATTCTCTCTTTGTGCATGTGCTATTAACTACTTTTGTATAGAGGGTAGTAGATCAGACACTGTAGGAGAACATTACTAGTTCTTACAGAAAGACAGAGAGAACAAAGTGATTGCAGTCTTAGAGATTTTATATATTACATAAAAACAAATTTAAGGATCTTTTCTGTGTTATCATATGATCTTTTTGGGTTTTTAGAGCTTATTGGAGGGAACTAAGTTACAGGAGAGAATATGGGAGACCAGGCTGCAGATGATGAAAGCACATTGAATACAATCCATTGCTTTTTCCTTTATAACCCATTTAATTACATAACTATTACAATGAGATGACCCAAGCGGCAAAAGAACAATCAAAACTTTTCTGCAAATGACAGCAGTAAAATGAAGCAACAGTTTCTTAGCAACAATTTAGAAAATATGCTAAATAATATTTTTTGCTGCTGAGGTTTGTGTATGCTACACTCCAGGCATTGTTCCAAAGTAGACTAATATTTTTGTGCATGTTTCTTTTATATTAATCTTCTTACAGGTTTGCCTTAACATGGAGTTTTTCTGAAGAACCACTGTTCATGGAGACATTCTCACCTGAAGTACAGAGGGAATAAAAAAAATCTTGTTTGGTAAGGCTAAAGCATTAGATGGAACATTAAAACTGCATTATTTTAAGGGTTTGGTTAACTGTAAAAACCAGTTCCAGTCAGAGGCTGCTCATTTGGAAATGGTGAGCAACAGTTGTTACAGCTCTGGCTGTCTCTCAGTAGTGGTGAACACACTGAACTGAACTTCTGCACAGTTCAGGTGCTGAGTCCTGAGCAGAACTGTGATTACACAGTGCATAATCTTCACAGTGTACATTATGAAATAGTATTTATTTTTCTGTGGAGTATTAAATGAAAGAAAATGGGAAATGAAGAATGAAATGTTTCATTTAATTTTGATGTTTATGGTAATTCTTCAGTTGTCTAAATTAAAACGAACAGAACAAAACCCCAAGAGAAAGCATTACTTTCAAGTTGACCCAAAACATATTGCCTTTTTCCCCCCAACATAATAAAAAAATATTTTGCTGATTTTTTCCTCCATTTTAGTTTCACCATTGCATAAGAAATTCTGGCTTTTAATTGGGAATGCACACATTTTGCCTGAAAGCATTTCTTGTCATGTTCTTCTGTATCCCCCAAACCAGTTACTTCATATTTCAGCTGATTTCAGAGCAGTTTCCAGAAGACAGACACCTAACTGCTGGGTAGCAAAGGAAAACGGCCGTGTCTGACATGACAAATCTCTTCCCCCAAGAATACTTAGGTTGAGCCAGTGTACCTGAAGAATTCTTTAGGTACAAAGTCCTTCCACCTATTTTGTCTTTTTTTTTTTTCTTTGGTCTTCACCTGTATTGCATTTAGAATTCATTGCTTCAGAAGGCCTGAATAACACCCTCTCTCTTCTCCCACTCAGAATGGGTGCTATTTTTCTGGGTTCTCTGCAGTTGTCTCCATTAAGGAAGGATTATTTGAAATCAGCCTGGTATTAGCTTTGCAACCTTACACAGCTCCTGTGTTAAAGTGAAGGTTCCAATTCACTCTGGATTTCACAAAAGCAGCATGAAATAGCTCTTCATTCTAGTACATTAGCTATGACAAGGTTAGAATGAAGCTGAGAGTAGAGCTTTATTTGAGAGAAGAGAGGAGTGAAAAGGGGAGGAGCTGGAAGCAGCAGCAGTTAGAAGGGGGGTCATATGTAACTTTAACCATAGATGATAGTGAGAGACTGCTTGCCTGCAGATTTACTATCAGAGGGGATTAATTTTTATATATGTGGGTTTGGAACAAAATATGCAAGAATTTTTTTTCCTGTCAAATGTGTGGGTCAAAAGGAGATTTGTTTATATTTAATCTAATTCCTCCTGTGATCTTTAGTCCGGTATTCAATTTACAGAAAAAAATTCTTATTTTTATTCTGCTTTTAATGTTTCCAGGATATTTGTAGGTCTCTTTGATATATCTACTGATTTTAAAACTAATGGGAGTCATGGCCACACAGTGTTTCCTGGACTGAGTTAGAAGGACAGGACAGCTTTTTAAAGGAGCTGTTTAAATATTTATAAGAAACTCTCTTCCTTAGTGGCTTACAAAATTTATGTAAAATATAACATCATAAATCAGCCTAGTTGTATATCTAAACTCCATGTTCTTCAGTTTTTAAAACTGAGTTATGAAATTCCTGTTTTGAAAACTGCATTGAGTTCCTAATTCAAGGCACACATAAGGTCGCATAAGATCTCTTAAAATTCGTGAGAACTACTTCTCACTATTTCACAAGGTGAAATAACCACAGATTGGCTGTGAAAGAACTTGCAAAAGGATTTTCCTAAGTAATTGCCATAGGGATTTCAGTACGTTTTCCTAATACTTATCATTGGCAGAAGCCTGCACGTCAGGATTCTGAGTTTGAGAAAAGAACATTGTATAAAATTCTTTTTTTTATTTCCCCTCATGGAGATAGTTACTTAACTACTCTGAGAGAACTTAAGTTCAGTCATAACTATTGTATTTGCTGTCTGATGATGTTCCCTAGTTAAAAAGATAATGCAGAGGAGATGTTCAAAATACTGTTCTCATTTTAATTTATTGTTATGCCTTGAAAACTCCAAATGGTTTTGGTTTTCTATTACATAACACTTTGATTATTTATATATATTTTGGATCAGATTTTTTGTTGTACATTTGCAATTAATGGAGATGCTCTAATTTTTTACTGTTTTACTTGTTTAACTGAGCACAGGATTTGGCCTAATCGGTAGACAGAGAAATAACAGACAGGGAACCATGTTTATTTTTTGCTAGATAAAAGCTGAGGTACTTACCAATCACGGAATAAAAGTTACTAACATTCTGGGCAATATACTACATAGTATTATCTAATCCTTACAATTTCTGGAATTACTTTTATACTTTATTAACAAAACTTACTGGGTCATGTGGGCATTTCACAATAATAAAACATTGTAAAACATTGTAGCCACTCAAGCCTTTGTGAAATATTTACAGGGATTTTAACTCTGTGAGTGTGATTTGCTTAGTTGTGTTCCATATAATTATTGCAAATGCCACTGTCTAGAGGCCTGGTGAATAACTTAGCTCAGTAAATGCTGAGTCCAACTGTGTGTAATGATTCTTGTCCTGCATGAATTTTGCATCACTGACCCACCCCAACAGGAGCTGTCCTACTAAGTTTTTTAAAAAGATTACATTTTCCATGCTTATTTGTCTGTGAATCAGGGGTAAAAATGGTGTACCTTTATTTCGAAAAAAATACTCTCCCTTGTACCCCCAGTGTACTCCAAGTTTGTGAATGAGTATGGTAAATCCTACAGCATCCAAGGCCTAACTGCATGTATCAGGAAGACTATCCATATGGAAATCTGCACTGCGGTAAGTGTGAGTGGTGTATAACCTGAGTCTGGAATGTAAAAGGTGAAGAATTTATGAAGAGTGCAAGTGATGTCTTCAGTGTAGATTCATAATTTACTGCTACGGATGTAAAAGATTTTTTCTTTTTTTTTTTTTTTTTTTTTAAGATTAATATAAAAGCATTCATTGGAGGAGGAACCTGCTTTGGACTTTTCTTTAAAATCAGCTCATGTAGAGGTTTGTCCTGTGTAGTTCTACGAGAGCAGGGCAGGACACTGGTGCGGGGTCCCAGCACCACTGGCGGGGGACACCGCCCTGCTGAGGGGATGCCGCGCCCCACCGGGGAGGCCGCAGCAGCGGACGAGGAGCTTCAGGGAGGCTGCAGCTGTGGGAGGGGAAGCCAACAGAAGCCACAGCTGTGGGCAAGAAGCCCCCGCAAGCAGACGGGGGAGCCCGGCGGGGCAGGCTGGGCTGCGGCTGCTGGGGCACCCCCAGGCGGCGTACCGGCTCTGAGGGGCGGCGCCCCCCCGCGTGTTCCGACGGTGCCCGCGCTCGGGCGCTGTTCTGCCCCGCGGAGGCCGCGGCAGCGCCGCGTTGCCCCGGCGAACCGGCGAGGCGGTGCTGGCTGCCCCGCCGGGGTCTGTGGCGCTCACCCCCCGCCACGCCGGGAGGGAGCCCAGGGGGCCGCGCCGCCGGGACGGGGGCGGGGAGCGTCACTGCACCACAGCAACCGTTCCGTCCTCCGGGCGGGAGGAAGAGGCGGCAGCCCGGGGCCCGCGGGCTGCTCCACTGCCACCTGCCGTGCCGTGCCCGGCTCTGTGCCGTGCCCTGCCGGTGCACCGGAGTTAAGGCGAGCCCCGCAGTCCGGTGCTGCGCCGGGGGCTCCGCCGTGCCCCGTCTGCCGGCCGGGGCAGGCGCGCTCCCTGGCCCCCGCAGCGGGCAGGCGCGGCCCGCGACCAGGGAACTTGCTCGAAACTCCCGCCCGCCGGCACGCAGCAGCGCTTGCACCGGCGCTCCGGCGCGGGTGCCGGCCGCGCTCGCGAGCTGCCACCCGGCCGAGCGCGAGAAAGTTTCTCCTGCAGAGGCTGGGCGGGAGGCGGGCGGCGCGGCGGGCGCTGCCGCAGTGAGATGCGCCCGAGCCCGGCTGTGCCGGCGGCGGAGCGCCCGGAGCGTTCGTCCTCCGCCCGCAGGGCGTGTGAGGCTCGGGGACAGCGTCGGCTGCCGAAGGCTTTAGGTGTTACATGCGTCCGCTAACCTTCTCCAAAATGGATTTTAGTCAGAGCAATCTGTTCGGATACATAGAAGACCTGCAGGAACTAACTATTATAGAGAGGCCAGTACGCAGGAGCCTGAAGGTATATACCTCAAAAAAGAAGGATGCTTTAAAATCCGTTTTAAATTGTGTCTGTTTTATTTATGCACAGCTAAGTGAGTAGACAGTCTATTTTTTTTTTTTTACGACAGCAGGATACTTAAACATTAAACAGACTTGAATACTACAAAGCAGGGACTTAATATTTCCAGTATAAGAATATTAAACTGGGAAAAAAATTGACTAACTTAGGTCTTTAGATTAATTTATATGTGATTTACTTTTACTTTAACAGTGATAATACCTGGCATGGAACTGTACTGCTCCAACATTGCATCTTTTCCTGGTGAAAGATTTATTTGATTGAATTTGAAATGTTGGCTAGAGATTTCATGGATAAATTCAAGTAACTCATGAAACTGTCCCTGGATATGTGGGGAGGAAGGACTTGTTTTAAGAAGATCAAAATAGTGAAATAATAATCTCTATTTCACACTTGACAGACACCAGAAGAAATAGAAAGATTGACAGTTGATGAAGAACTCAGTGATATTGAAAGGGCTGTTTATCTACTCAGGTATTTCCTAAAATATTGCTCTGAAACATTGCTGACCATCATGTTTGTATACAACTTTTTTTTTTTTTGTCTTTCAGTAGTTTTTTTTTACCTTCCACTATGTTAAACATATAGGTAAGATAAAAATAGGTACTGTAATTTAAAAGAAGCCACCCTGGAATAGGGTGCCTGTGTACGCGTATAAACATTGCTGACTTTTTAATATGACCTTCACCAGCACAGAGTTGTACTTAATGATTTTGCAAGATTCCGTGAATATTAACGTTAAAAACAGCAATCATTCAGGAAGTTCATATTCCCTCAAAGTGAATATTCACTCGTGGGCAGTTACCACAGGCTGAAAGCAGAGCTGTTCTAGCATCCTGTATATGTTTGGACTTTCAGAAGAGAAAACTTGAGAGATTAGTTTTATAGTCCTTAGGAATTACTGTAGAAAACACTGTGTTAATACTTCTCACTGTTCTGGTTTTTCATTTTGCCTCCTTCTTCTTGTTGAAGGTATTGATTTGCAACTACTCGAATAACTTAAATTTTGGTAGTTTAAAATACAGATCTTTCAATTACTGTGTAAGTCATCTTTGAAAGTACAAATGTTCTGAGGGATTTTGAGTTGAATATGCATTTTTAAACAATACCTAGTAATTGGAGAACCAGCTGCAGCTACCTCTCAGTTTGCTTATTCTGCTATGTTAAGTGCTTTTCTGATCTGTGCCTGTGCTCAGTGTTTAGAGTTTTGGGGTGCATGGCCTTATTTTTAGGTAAGCATTTTTGTCCACTGATACTACTTTTGATATTGTGCTTTGTTTATATATATATTTTTTTTTTAATGCTGGAATTTACTAAATAGAGGATTTTAAAACTTGCTGTGCGTTTCTGTAATCAGAGCAGTCTGTTGACTCTGGGGAAATTCAGAGAAAACAGTTTGTATGTTGTGCATATCATTGAAAGTATGCATATCAATTTTGGTTTTTACCTCACAACAATCAGCATAGCTGACTTCTTTTTCTTTCCCCGTGTGGCAGCAAATTTCTTTACTCTTTTCCCAATTAAAGATCCTGTTTCCAGCATTCCGTGTTAACTAGCTCATTGCCTTGTTAAATGATGAATGTTCCACTTCATATCTTTCCTCTTACCAGTTGCTATTCAATCTGGCCTTGACCTTCTCCTGACATCTTTATTTGCTTTCTCTCTACTTGAGCAGCTGTTCTGGGGACATAACATTCTTTTTCTTTTGATGAAGCTTTCATTTTTGCCTCTGCATTGTTCTCATTGCTGAAAGGTAGCTTCAACTGTGCTTGATAGGCATTTTGTAAGGCAATCAGTTGTTTTCCAGGTATGTTAATACAATAATTGAGTGGAATCTTTTGCTGTTTAGTAGTATATTGCCTTCCTGGTACTTAGTGGAGTACAAACAAACAGTTGAAAAGCTGCCTGTAACACAGTATCTTTTACATAATGTACAAAGGTATGTACTTTTGGTTTGTCAGGAATTTTTTAATCTATTGTAATAGCCTGTTGCTGTTTGACAGTAATGTCAGTCTAGTCTTTTTGTGCCTTATTTTCTCCAGCAGATGCATTATTTGCTGGCCTTCAGGTTGTCCCTTATGTGGGATGCTCCTTGATATTATCCAAAAAGCCAGTGCCTTTTCCGAAAATCCAACTATAAAAATGGCCTTGATGAGATCGAAAGGAATTGTTAATGATGGCTGTGTTATAGCACATTTGAAAAGGATAATGTTATCTCCATATACAATAAAAATATTCAAGAACAATATTAGAAAGTAAATCTCTTACCTTTAAATATCTACAAATAATATCAAAATACTACTTCCGTCACAGTGTCATTTATATTGTCACTTATGGAAGCCTAATCTGCAAGTTGAGTCAGAATCACAGAATATTCTGAGTTGGAAGTGACCCACAAGAATCATCCAGTTGAGCTCTGATGTGAATGGCCCATACAGAGATCAAACCCACAACCTTGTTGTTATTAGCAGCGTGCTCTAACCGAGTTGAAGATGTTAAATTTACTGAGAATATCTTTAGTGTTGCTTGTACAGTGCATTAGAGCTAACTAAACTGAATGAAACCTTTGTATGCTACAGCAAACCTAGTGTTTACTAATGTTTTTCTGTTGAAGTTCAGGAAGAATCCACACACTTTAATGGCTTTCATTCTAAATGAAAAACCTCAACCACTTTCTTCACTTTTCCCGTCATTTCACTTCAAAAGCTGCCCCCAGCTTCTTCTCCCCACCCCTGAAATTGAATACTCTGGTTTCCTTATATGCAGAGTTGTTCTATGTTTACTAGGTACTTGTGTTTTCTAGAGTTCTGCTCCTGCAGTCTTTTACTATTTAAGTCTACAAAATGGGTCGACATCTGAGTTAGAATAGTTTTCTTTTTTTTCCTAGTGACTGATTCTTGCTTTGCTGTGTATACGGGAAGGTAGAGATTTCCCAGCTGTCACTGTTTCATCAGTTCATTCTTCTTTTTTGACTTCTTGTGTTCTTCACTTCTCATTTGCCAGTAATACTGTGGAGTTTGGGGCATGGTCTTTTGCTTCTTGATACTGCAAAGTTAATTATTTTACTCATCTGGTATTTATTTGTAACCATCTAATGATTATTTTGTATTTCCACAGTGTCTTGTCTGTGTCTAGACATGATGTGTGGTCACAGATTTTGTAAATTTCTGTTCATTGTCTTCTCTTAAATATGACATAATTATATACCTCTGAATGTTTTTAGCTCATGGTAAGTACCTGGATACAATAATCCTGTTTAAGATCTCACTTTCATAGGACATGATTTCATTTTAATTGTTTTTTATTGTTACCTATCACAGTTTGGTTTCACATTCTAAAGTGATAATAGTAATTTTGATAATCCTAACAAGTTTCTCTCTCTCTCTTTAATAATTATTTGTAGCGGATGACTTTGCTTTCAGTCTTCCCTTTTCTGCTAGTACTGTTTTTCAGATCACTGTGCAATGAAGTAGATTGATAAGATGATCTAGCTAAGGCTGATCGTTTTTAGTGACGTTAATTTTCAGCTAAATCAACTCCTTGATTTGCTGCATCATGGGGATGTAGAAACAAGTGAAAGGAGAGGACGTAGTAGCTCTCCTGGTGGCTAAAGTCACTTCATTGTGACAGAGTGAACTTCTGCTTTAGATCACTGATGCCCGGAGAACTCAGTTTTAATTAGGTGACATTCTGCAGTTAGACTGAGCAAATCCTAATTAAATAAAAATGTGGTAACAAATTGGACTGTCATCTGTTTTAATCTCAATTAACCTTAATTCTTGTTGAGGAACTAGGCTTCCTTAGACCCTATTGTCAGGGGTGTTTATGAACTTCCCATTGAAATCAAATGGATTTAGGTACCTAAAGAGGGAGAGGCATTGTAGTATCTAATATCGATGTTTTAGAGCTTCAGCCTGTGTGTTTGGTGGTTTCTGGAGGGTCTACCAGGAATCACCAAAGGGTTGTATTGTGCCGGTGTTTTGTACACCGCTGGCCCAACAGAACAAGAAGGACAGCAGAATAACTGTGCACCTCAGCCATGTCAGCGTCAAGATCAATGGCTTATCATAAAACCATCGGCAGATTAAGACAGGATACCAGACTACACTGAAACAATTGAATAGTTTGCATTCCACCTCAAGGCATCATGACCTCTATCAGGACAGTGGCAATAAGCAACTCAGGGACAGTAATTTTTATTCCTGCTGTGAACTTTTGGCTGTAGTCTTAATTTCCATGTTTTCTGATGTTTGATTCATGTTATTACTTATATTAATTTGTCTAACTGTAGCTCATTGTTTTGGGGTATACGACCAAAGTTATGTATTCTTTGCCTGATGCGAATCTGGTTTTGGATACAAGGGTGCTTACTGGCATGTGCACTGCAGTGTGGCTTGTTTTCTGAGGGCTTTCCTGATAGATTTCCCTTGGGCTTTTACATTGTTGTGTTGTATTATTTTGTAGTCAGCTACTTTTTTTTTTTTATTTGTGCCTGCTTAGTGTTAAAGCTTCTAGACCTTGACATGTCTGTCATACTCAAAATAACAGGGTGATAATGAGTTATCAAGGTGGAAGATTGAATTATTCAGCCTTTTGGGAACATAGTGTACTTTGGGTTTGGAGAGATCCTATCTGTTGGTGTAGAAAACAACACAGTGCCTCTACAAAATGGTTTTTGAAGATACAATAGATACTCTATCTAGATTGGAAAGTGTTCTATACCTCTAAACTTAGCACAACTTAAAAAAAACCCCAACAACAATAAAAAAGTTGTACTTTATTGTAGCCATGCTTGATTAGCTAGAGTATTCTCAAATTCCAAACATCATTTAATACATTATATGTAGTTAATTGTGAATGTCAAAACCACTACTATTTAAAAGTTTCAGATTTTTATTTTTTTGTCTAGTTTTTAGTCATCATGTTAGTTTTGGAAAATTTCTCTGAAGGTGAAGGCAACTACCCTTTGATTTTAAATGAAAGCTTTCATTTAAATGTAGCTTTAGAAGCTGATTGTCATACACTGTGTAGGGTTTTTTGTATTATATAATCATGAAAAATGGCTATTCCATTCTGATTATACAGCTTCTGGTCCTGATGCATACATAGTGTACTGGAAGATCCAGCTATAATGCTAAGCATATTGGAAAATAATTCTTCCATCTATACTGCCAAGCTGTAAATATTAATGTAAAAAGTATTTCCTCAGTCTTCTTCTCTTCATCTTTTATTTTGTAAATTGCAACCTAAATTTTATGAAAGTTTAATTCTGATTCACTTAGTTGGACAAATAAACTATTTGCTTGATGTTGACAGTGTTATACAAGTAAGTTAATGTATATGAAATTGATTCTTTCACCCTAAAGTGAAAGGTGTACCCATAGACTCCTAAAGTGTTGTAAAGTCACATACTTGTATTTAAATTTAGATTTGTGCAAAAACTTCTGTTAATCATATTTGCTGAGTTGAAACTG